ATAACCTCTCAATTCATAACAGATTGGCATATCTTCCAGACTTTATAAAGATTCAACTAAAACAATATGCATTTTATTTATACATACTATTTGACCGTTATTGAAATTGCTTATGTGATTTTAATATAGGTATTCATATAGATGTATCTCTATATATATTTATTTGTGGTATTAGTTATTATTACAATAATAATACAGCTATCAAAATGAGTTACGACCAACATTTCAATTATTATCAAAATACAATGTCGAAATAAAGCAATAGACTTCATATTAAGACGAGAGCATTAGTAATATTATGTTATCAGTATACATTATAACTTAATATCGGTTGCTTAAATAAATACAATGCATTATTATGCAATATCTACCTATACCTTTGTTTGTATGCATGCATGTCTGAGGATTTCAAGTTGCTATTTTCAACACCTTCACTTTCTGTAGCTTAGTTTTTAAGCTACTTGCTAACATAGCAGTACAGAGTTGGCTGCTGTAGGTGTTGAAAACAAACTAAGTATTTCATATTTATGTGATAGGGTTTTTATGTGTATGTGTAGTAGTCTGTACCAATACAAAGAGATTTTTGTGGTTAAAAAGTACAGGCATATACATACATAATTAATCTACTTGAATATGATTGCCAGTTTAAGATTTCTAAATTGATAATAAATGTATGTTGTCAGACTCAATTAATCAGTGTAAATATTTTCACTATATATACGACTCTAAACTGGCAACTGTTATACCCAAGCACTATCAGAAAATATATGGGTCATTCCATCCAAAACTTACATTTACAATTTTTTTTCGTGCGTAACATTTTTTTTGTGCTCTTTGAGGCAAAATATTGGACAGGTACTTTTTTATTACGTTACAAAAATTTTAAAAATTTTGGAGTTACGAATTTTCAAAACTTCAACACTCTAAAAAAGTACCTTTAAACATTTGTGTATACGAAGTGAAGTATTTCATTATAAAAATAATTAGAATAACTGTTGTTTACGATTGTCTCTCAACTTTCCAATGAGATACACTTTGAATTTATTCGACTTTTTTTAAATAAACAAAGGGTACTATTTTTATTCGGTTTTTTTTTTATACTTGCGGAGAAAAAGAAAATCCACAAAATTTTAGACTGGCTCAAAGACTAGGAATATGTGGATAATATTTCAATACTCATTATACATTTTTGAGTGTCTTCTGAAGATAGAGAAATTATAAAAATTTAATTGAAGAAGTTATGTATTTTATTTGCATTAGACTCATTACAAAAATTTATTTTATAGATATTATATATATTCTTCTTAGAATTGAACCTATAGCTTTTTTTTGGACAGAAAACTTTAACTATATCTTAAAGTCTGAATTTCAGTACTTTTAATCATTGTTGCAATAGTGTATAATTATTTAGATATAAATATTTAATTAAAAATTTTAAGCAAATAAAAAAATTATATACTTATTATATAAAAATTATATAATAACAGCTACCAACCAACCTTTAAATTTTTTTTTCGAAATCTCTAATTAGTTGAAGTTTATTGCAAAAGTGAGTATAAAGCTTTTAGTGTTTTCTAAAGTTTGAGTTTTAGTACACTTTTGGTAATGGTTGCCATCCTACACATAAAATATTTTTTAAGGAATTACAAAAATAAATACTCGTACAGTTTAGATAATATTATTAGAATAAAACTCAAAATTATGATGTGTCAAAATGAGGTTGCCACTCAAAAACTGTTCTTAAATGCTTGAATAAGAGCACATAGGGGAAATAGTTTAGTTTATTTAAATTCTAAGTTCTATTTTTTTCTCTTTCGTTGCTCTTCTGATATGAAATAAATCGAAAATTTACAATACAATGTTTACATAAAACTTTAAAACTTTTTTGAACCTTCAGTTTAAATATTAGTTGAAAGAGGTTTACTACCATAATCAATTATCTATCAAAGCCTTTATAAAAATGAAGAAAATATGATAAGAATAAAAAATGAGTATTTTTTTAATAAAGTATTTTTACAAAAGTATAAAAATTACGTTGCCAGCTGTATTGAAAATTTTAAAAAAAGTTGTGTTACTAAATGAAAACTGTTCTTAAATGTTTTGAAATTGGTAGGGGTTAGAAGAATTATCTATATATAAATTTTTTGCGCTCAGCATTACAATATACACAAGGTTACCAGCATACTTAAAAATCTATCTAAGTACTATACAAAATGTAAGCAAGCATTTTATATCCCTTATTAGAATATAAAATTGGTGTGTTTTATTAAATTATTTTTACAAAATTTACAATAAAACGTTGCCACCTGATTTGAAACTTTTAAAACAACGTATGGTTATTATATGATTATTATACATTTTTAATTCAGAAACTTCGCTTTATTTTTTGCGCTTAGTTATACACACGGTTACCACCTTAGTTAAATATCTATCTAAGTATCATCAAAAAATCAAGAAAAAACGATATCAATATAAGTTCAGTTTTTTTTTTGTAACAAAATAGTTTTGAAAATGTAGGTATACAGTGTTGCCACCCGATTTGAAAAACTTAAATAACGCACGATTAAATGCTTCAATAAGGTTTTTAAGGAGTTTGTATATTAAAATTTTTAACACGCATGTTTTTGACCAATTATATTTAGAGCTCAATTTGACTAGAATATTATCTTAACTATAAATAATGGGTTATAAACTATAGCAGCTGCCTTCTACTTATATTTGCATATCTACTTCAATGCTTACCCATCTAATTATAAACTCATCTGCACAGAGCACATCGTTGTCATTTCCCATCATTGATTGCCATTATCAATGTCGACAACGTACATATTGTCTGCCACTCTCAATGCATTTAAGTGAAGTGGAAATATCAACTTAACTAAATATGAATATCTCATTTAAATTTACACTTGTGGTCATATTATGCATATATATTTTTCGCATGCAACCTTTTATTATTTACATCTTATCTTATCATCATCGATGATTGCATTTGCTTTATGCAAATTTAATAAACCACAAATGTGTTACAGTGTAGAAATTGTTGCCAATAACAGTACTCATAATACAATGAGACAGCAATCATTCATGCTAGCTCGGAAAATAGATGCGTAACGAATGAGGTTGTGAAGACCGCAGGGACAAATGCGTAGATGATGCAAGTACTATTCTGCCACATATATCATATACACTTATACATAAATAATATGGAAATTTAAGTGTTGAAAACGCCCGAAAGCAGAAGGAAGTGTCTGCTTGTAAGCAATAATCGAAATTGAGATTTTCATACTTCTTTAGTGAAAAAAATGAAGTTGACGCCAAATTGGATTACATTAAATGCCGTCAATTGTTGGTTGATTTATTAAACGATATAATTTTAATTTCAAAACTCATTTATTTTTTTTTACTTTCTACATAATAACAAGCATGTAAAGTTACATAAAGCCTATATTAATAATCAATGCAATAAAAAACACTGCCTATTTTTAGGCAGAATACTAAATCATTACCCACTAATAAGATAAAAGTTAGCAAAGACGCACACCTATGTAAATAGAGAGCATTAAAAAACACGACAGATGTTTTTTGAAAGTATTAAACAAAATTCCTAATAATTTAGCAAAAGTCGGATTAAAGTGTGTAATATTTTCTTTATTTATTTTGAAGTTTTTGAAATATTAAATGTTGTTATTATTTTTAGGGCTAGTTAGTAACCAGATACTTAATTTTTAAGTTCTGTTTTATATAAATTTGCTTGAATGTAGGCTATTGTTACCATGTTATTTTTTTCACTTTTTTTCGACTGGGAACGGACCAGAGAAACGTCGTTTTCGCTGTTGATTACTAACAAGTTCGGCTTTATACAGTTCTAGAGTTTCTAGCCGGTCAACTACTCTTTAATGCACCCCCATGCGGTGATGCGAAAAATCTTAGCGGAAGCCTTATGAAGATGTTGTTTGGAAGAAGTTGGGGCAAACTCTTATAGGTTCCTTCTTAAATGCTCCAATTTGTCTAAACTACGATTGAAACATCTTATGTAGATCTAAAAGCTTCAGACGAACTGCATGTAGTCGAAACTAATCGCCAGAGCAGATTTTAGTTGAGTGCAAGCTACTATTTCGATATATGAGGGTTTTGAATCACCATCAGGCTTTTTTGATATCGGACAGGCCAGGTCAGCAACGGTGCAAACTTGTGCACTGTGTTCTCTGTAGTTGTAGAACAGTTTTCAAGTTTTGGTTAAATAAAATCGAAAACGACTTGTCTACCATTTTTCGAGTATGATCTTTCCGCCGAAAATCTCACAATCGATCTAGCCTTTGGCAAATATAAAATTAGTTCGTTACGTTCACTAGTTTGGAGAAAGCGAGATGAGCTGAGTCGATTTCATCATATCCCCTAGCTCTGTTTTTAAGATATCGCTCTAAAATTTGGCACACGTCTTTTTCTTTTCACGAAGCTGCTCGTTCATCGAAACCGACGATTCCGGACCACTATAAGATATAACTGTCTTACAAACTGAGCGATAAAAATTAAGTCTTTGTATGGAAACCTTTTGTATTTGGCCACAATTTTTCATGGGTTTATATTCATAACATTGTTACGATATTCGAACATATTGTGTTGATCGGACCACTATAGCATACAGCTGTCATATAAATTACCTATTATAATCAATTTCTTGTATGTATAACTTTCTTATTTGACAAAATATCTTCATGAAGTTTGGCATAGATTAATTTGCAAATGAACGGTACAATCTCCAAATCCATTGTAATCGGACCACTGTAGCATATAGCTGCCATACAAACTGATTTATCAAAATTATACAAGATATGAAAACTTGGTTATTTCTGAAGCTTCGCTGCAGCCGAAATAAATGTTTTATTTTTATTTTAAATTTTTTTGACAATTAAACTTTTTCTTATAAAATTTTTCTTATAAAATAATTCTATTTAATTATATATATAATATATCCATTTTAATTTTTTTTTACTTACGGTCACTTGTCCATTTGGCGTCTCTGGTGGTTCCCATGTTATAACCATTGTTGAGGAACTCAGCGGTCGGACTTGTACATTGCGTGGAGCGCTTTCCATTTCTGTAAATTGTAAGTAAAAAAGAAAATGTATTAATTTTAATACTAAGCAAACTCCAATTTAACTCCAAATATATTTTGGAATATTTTATAAAATTAATTAAGCATAAACACAAAATTTCACTTTTCGTCTCACAGAATCTTGCTGCGTGTTGGTGTGATGGTGTGTGTGTGTGTGCGAAAATATTGCCTTTTCCTTTTACAACAAAAAAGAAAAATGCTTCCAAGGCCCACCACTACATATGTCAAGCCATAAATCATGCCATTAAAATTCAATTAAGCATTATATACAATATTTCAACAAAGAGCCTTACGACCTCTTAGTTGGGGGGACGGTTAAGTAAGATGAAAATCCATTTAAATCTGATTTCATCAATTATTTGCCTTATTAACACAAAAATTAATTCAATTATAAATACATCCATTGACTTGCCGCCATCGCTGCTATCATCGCCGGTTTTACTTTTTTTCTCTTTTAATATAGTATATGGTATATGTATATATATGTGCGTTTGTGTATGTATTGCGTCGCTCACTCCTCCGTTGAATGCATTCGTCATTTCTTATTTTAACTTCAATTAGTCATTATGCCACTACAGCGTAACCGCAGCATCAATTACGTGCAATTAAAAGTGGCACGAAGAAGAAGAAGAAGAAGCAGCAGCAGCAGCAGAGCAACATCAAATCAATACAAACGCTCGTAGTAGTGGCAAGCAGCTAACAGCTGGTGGCTGGCAGCAGGCAGATGTGGGTTATATACATATATATGTCTGTATGTATGCATATATATATATGTATGTTTGTGTGTGTTAAGAGTTCGCTGGAGCACTCCATCCATAAACCAACACATGCACGTGTCCAAAACATGAACTGTCAGCCATGAAGCAGACAAGCGATAGCGAGAGTCAGCCAATCAGCCAAGCGAATAACCACTTCCTCCACAGCAAACCTGCTTACATACATACGTACGTATAATAGGAAACGGAAGAGGAAACAAAGAACCGCAATGCAATTGAAGCGCATATCTACACACATTCACACATACGCTTGTATGTAGGTATAAGTATACTTGTATGTTTATGTGTGTATTGGTGCGCTTGGGCAGGCAAATGGGCACATCAATTAATGGTGACGCTGTTGTTGTATTGTTCACTGTTCATTAATTGCTAATTAAAAATACACACACACACCAATACAATACAAGTTTGGCGTTACAAGTATGTACAGCAGCAACTACACTAATGCATAGATAGATTTAAAAAAGCAGCAATAACCCCGCCAATAAAACAAAAATACACAAATTGACAGCAGAAATGTTCTGTTGAAAAGAAATCGAGAGAAGTCAATTGCTAGCACAGCTGCTAAAAAATGCAGAATATTTTATTGGAATTTAAAGGTATGCAAAAACTACAAAAAGGCCAAAAGTACGCTGCTGCTAAGAGTTGTAAGTTGTTTAAGGAAGAAAAGCAAAATAACTGAGGTGCTGATAGACAAGTTTTATGAATTTTGATTGATGTTGGAACAGGAATAGCAGAGTAAGAAGAAGTGAAGCGGATATAAATTAGAAGTGTAAATTAAGCATTTGCGGCTGCCAATTAAACGTTAAATTATATAATTTTAAATAAAAGAAAGCGAGCTTTTGTTTAAAATTTTTATGATCTTTTATGAAGCTCTCTCAAATTTCGTAAAGATATTTTGTCTAATAAAAACTTTTTTCCTTCAAATACTTGAGAAGTCAGTTTGTTTGACAGCTAAGTGTATCCCATAGTAGTCCGATTTGAACAATACAAGTATGTTCGGAGACTGTAGCCTTGCCTTGAACATTAATGCTTCTAATTTTGTGGATATGTTTTGGCAAAAAAAAAAAAAGTCTCCCACACAAAGACTTGATTCTGATAGAACAATTTCAGATTTTTCTGATAGAACAGATTTCGAAAAGGAGGCACTAGTTTGAGTATATGGTATATAGACAGGCCGATATATCTAAACCCACTCAGCTCGTTACAATGATCATTTTTATATATATACTTTAAAGAGTCTCTATCGCTTCGTTCTGAATGTTTAAAACTTCGTCATAAAATTCTTTTACCCTGTTCAGGGTATAAATATTTGAATACTTTAGTGCTGACGACCGCCAGTTATCAAAGTTGTTTAGAGGAAGGTGACGCTTTTCACTTCACACTTGACAAATTTTTTCCGACTTTCTAACTTTTGCTAGATTGAAGTTGTAACATCTTGAATGTCATACATTGATATTCGTCGCTGCAATTGATTTGTTAGAGCTCAAAGATCTTTACCGATATATGCGGGTTGCTTGATTCATACCTAGTAGTTTTTGGCAGCAAAAAAGTATGATATTTGAACTGTCAAAGTGAAATCTTTGTCGCAGCGATCAACTACGTAATCTAACTTTACCTAGCCTACATGGTTCTCAAGACACAATCGGGAACCCACCTTAAAAGTCAATAATGCCAAGAAAAAAATTTTAAATTGTGACCAGTTGGTTATAAGCTGAGTTGCAGACTTTTTTTTCTTAAACTATGGATGAAGAATCATGTCTTTTTTTAGCACCTCTGTTGATTTATAATAACTACAGCATACTTCAATGACCCATGCAATTAACTAGATGACAAAAAATTTTGCGTGGAAACTTATCGACTTTGTTTCTGTTAGCATAGCGCCAAGCGAGTCACTTTCGTAAAAATGGATTGTGAAACATTATCTTGTAAGCTAAAAGCTTGTTCTGTAAATTTTGTCTTTCTCGAGTATTTTAGTATTTTCTCTATAAGAATGACCAGATCTAGGAAGTTTCGATGTAAAGCAGCAGGCAAAGAAGTTTTATAAACCAAAACGTAAAAAGCCATTCCAGATTTTTGATCACGGTGAATGTTCAACAAATTCATTTGATTTATTTAGATTCCTTTAAGAGTCAGTAGCACTAAACCGGTCAGTTTAACAATTATATACAAATCATCAATATATTATTGAAATATATTAGTCCCAGCACATTCTTTGGCCATTTGAAAGTCTTTATATATCTTTATTTATATTCTACTGATATTCAATTCAACGCCATTTCAATGTCTCACTGTTTTAATCATCAAACTAAATTTACTACGTTCAAATCTCTTGTTTATTTCAAAATATTTTCGGTAAAATATCTCCATTATTAAAACATATAATCCTTTCATGCTATTTGACTTTCACTTGCTATGTTTTTTTTTTTTATTTATTTAAACTGCTATCTAGTCTATCATGCATCTGATTTCGAAAATGTTGAAATTATTTTATTTAAACTATGCAAATATGCGATTACGTTTGCATAAATACTATACATAGTGAGAGTGTTGTAATTATGTCGACAGTTGTCGTAATGGTAAGCTTATATTGCAATGCGCCTATTGTTAGGCTACACATTGTAAAAGCTTAGAGTGCAAATTGTTAGTAAATGAGCTATAAATTTAGTAACTTTTGTAGCTTTCGATAAATAAATATTATCTATTGGATATAGTTGATTTATATCGTTTCATTTGAATTAATCTTTTCAAATAGTTTGTAGATTTTACTTTAGTAGTTTAAACTTTTTGCCAATGAAGTGATGCAAAGTAATTTATTTTAGTTAGTATGGATAAATAAGTTTTATGATCAAAAGTGAATGTTGAAAATGTAAATTAGCTTTTATTAAAAATTAAAATTTTTTTTTAATCATCCATAAGTAATATTGTTTAAATTTAAGAAATTTTCAGTATTGAATATTCTACTTATATAACTTTTTTTTGCAAAAAACGGTAAAAAAACGGTGACAAACTATCAGGCGTATTTGCTTTAATGCGTGTAAATAATTAAATCTTCTGTTTTTTGTTTTTTTAACTTCCCGCTAAGAAAATGGAAAATTTTCTAAAAATCGGGAAGATATCACCCCATTTTGCAAAAATCGAGTTCTCAACAGATCTCGACGTTCTGAGGGTCGAGGAAGCTTCCCCGAACATTTCTACGATGATGTCCGTATGTCTGTATGTATGTGTGGATGTATGTGTGTGTGTGTGGATGTATGTGACCCTCTTATAACTATTAAACTGCTCAACCGATTTGAATAAACTAAACGGCATTCCAAAGGGTTTCATTGCACTTGAATTTCGTGTAAGTTTGGACCCAATCGGAAGTAGATTTCGAGAAATCTCAAAAATTAAAATTTTTTCCAAACGACTTGACCGATCGACACCAAAAACTAATCAGTTCTAAACCTTGAAGAAACACATCGTTTGCCGCAAACCGGGTCGATATCGGTTGATTAACTTGCTAGATATCGAAAACGAAAAATTTGGAAGAGCTCAAAAGCAGTGAAAAAAGCGAAATTTGAACGTCAGCGTATGAAATTAGAGGGAAGTTGCAGGGATGGCCCTTGAGGCCAACCGTTTTCCACATTTTTTTTTAAAGCAATTAAGTTCATGTAGAAGAGAGACATATTATTGAAGCCAATTTTAAAATCGTTTAATCTCAGATGAAGTTTTATCTTCCAGAAAGTCAGCAAAACACTGAGTTAGAGGTCTGCGAACTGCAATATGGAGTTGCTAATAATTTTTGTATAGCCGCTATATGCTTTGGTGGTCCGATATCGGCGATTCCGACCAATGAGCAGCTACTTGGGGGGGCGAAGCAAAGATTTAGATCGATTTTTCAAAAACTGAGAAACTAGCTCGCGTATATACAGATAGATAGACGGACGTGGCTAAATCGACTCAGCTTATTGCACTGATTATTTTTATATATACCTCTTAGGGTCTCCGACGTTTCCTTCTGAGTGTTACAAACTTAATGGCAAATAAATAGCTTAATTAGCCTGTTCAGAGTATAAATATTCTCAGTAATATGCAATTACTTCTTGTGTAAGAGATTTTTTGTAAAAAAAATATATAATAAAAAAACAAATAAAGATTTTTTTTCAAAAGTAAATGAAATAATATTGCCAAATATTGTTGGTTTTTAATATAAAGTTGCAATAA